GCATACAGATCCTTACGGATGTCCACATCGCACTTCATGATCGAATTGTAGACAGTTTCGTGGATACCAGACGATTCCATGCCCAAGAACGAGGGCTGGAACAATGCCTCTGGGCAACGGAAACGCTCATTGCCAATGGTGATCACCTGACCATCAGGCAATTCATAAGACTTCTCCAACGAGGTGGATGCAGCGGCAGTGGCCATTTCCTGCTCAAAGTCCAAAGCAACATAGCACAACTTCTCCTTGATATCGCGCACAATTTCACGCTCGGCAGTGGTGGTGAACGAGTAGCCACGCTCGGTTAAGATCTTCATCAGGTAGTCGGTCAAATCACGACCGGCCAAGTCGAGACGCAGAATGGCGTGTGGCAGGGCGAAACCTTCATAGATGGGCACAGTGTGCGATACACCATCACCAGAGTCCAATACAATACCGGTGGTACGACCGGAAGCGTAGAGGGAGAGCACAGCCTGAATGGCCACATACATGGCGGGCGAGTTGAATGTCTCGAACATGATTTGAGTCATCTTCTCACGATTCGCTTTCGGGTTGAGTGGCGCTTCGGTCAACAATACTGGATGCTCTTCGGGTGCCACACGCAATTCATTGTAGAAGGTGTGATGCCAGATTTTCTCCATATCATCCCAATTTGTTATGATACCATGTTCAATGGGATATTTCAATGTCAGTATACCTCTTTTGCTCTGCGCCTCATCACCCACGTAGGAGTCCTTCTGACCCATACCCACCATCACACCTTGATGGCGTGGCCGACCGACAATCGAGGGGAATACGGCGCGGGGTGCATCATCACCGGCGAAGCCAGCCTTGCACATACCAGAGCCATTGTCAATGACCAGAGCACCCGCATCATCGTCACACATTTTGGCAGTTAGTTAAGTGAGTTCTGTAATGAGCGAAGGAGAAGAATTGATAGTTAGTTTTTGTGTGTGTGAGTAGTACAGTGGATATTTTTCATAATTTTTGCAGCTAATTTAGTAAGAAAATATAACAACCGACTAGGATTTCAGGATTTTAATGCGGAATTTCCATCAAACGCTCAAATATAAAAAAATATTATTTAATCTAAAATAAAATAAAAATTAGTTTATGGGGAAATATTTCGTGTTTTTTTTAACTTATAAAAATCTTTTCCCTAAAATTTTTCACCACTAGAGTACTGTAGAGATTTCGGAAATTTCGCGATGGCAAATAAGTCATTTATTGTAGATATTTCTTAATTGCATTTTTTATTAATTTTTTATTATTTTATCTTTGCAATTTTTATGAAAGTTAGTTGGTTTTTTTAAATATTGCACAAAGTTTGAAACTTGGATCTATATTATTTTTGTTAAAGAATGAATCACATTTTATAAAAAATTATTCAAATTAATTTTTAAAACAAAAATCAATCATCAAAACTTTTCAAGAAAGGGTGACCTTATCATTATGTCGGGCACTTTATTATACTTGCATACATATGTACATTGTTTATAACATTTTGCCCTAAAATGTAATAAATACATTTATCTTTTGCTCTAATAGTTTTATAATTATCGTGGAAAAATATCCTGAAACACGCATTTCTATAATTTTCTTCAAGAAAATTTTTAATGAAAGCGTAGTATTACCGACTGAAATTGTTTAGAGAATTTCTTCCTCTACAATAAGGTATAAAAATTTGTCTTTTAGATTAGTGAAGTTGATTTGTCGCTGTCAGAGTTTTTGTTTTTGGCATTGAGTTGGGTAAAATTTGCTAGTTTTTCATTCATTTGAAAATTCGAATAAAATCGAAGCCATTTTTATTTCAATATCGGACTGGGCTTAAAAGTTGGGGGTATAGGCGAGATTCTTTTAGAAAAAATGTTCATGAAAATCGAAATTGATAATAAACATTTTATATTAATTTGAAAATTTTATAGAAATAAAAGTTTGAATTTTTTCGATTTTATACTCCAACAATTTTCAATGTATGTATATATTGTCGAAGGTTAGGTTGGATTAGGTTGAAGTGGCTGCTGGCAAAGGTCGTCAATGTACATACATATATTGCTATACTCCGGACGTACATACTTAATCCAAGTGAGGCTCTTTACGGCCAACTAGCGCTTTCTAATCTAACCTCCAAATGGGATAAAATAATTTAAGTTTTGTTAATTTTGAAGATCAAATCCAAACTATGCTTGTTCTACTTTCTGCGAACTGAGCTAAATAAGATTTACTTAAATATTCCGTTCGAATAATTTTTTTTTTTTTAAAGAAATTAAATCCGGAAACGTTCGGCTATTTCTTTGATTAATTCGACAATTTATTATTTCATTTCCATTTCCATAGCTTTCGTTTCACTTTCGTTTTAAGTACAGTTTTCCATTTTAATTAAATAAGGTCCGTGCGCATGGGTGTTGCAGAAAAATTTGAAAAAAAAAAAAAATAAAATAAAAATAAAAAAATCCGCCGACTGTTAAATTTTGTAAGAGTATTTTTATTGGCAGCTATTTTTAGTACTCGATTGCGTAAGTTTTTACTGCGTATCGCAATCGCGCGGAAGACACAGCCTAATTCATTGCATAATAAAAATTAACGTTTGTAAGAAAGCTTTGATCAAAAATTCGGGCACTGAGGATTATTAAAAGAAACGAAGATCCTTTAAATCCAACATCTCTAGCATAATCCTTGATGAGAAATTTTCACTGTTTCAATTAAGCTGTACTCAATAGTTATTTGAAAAATTTTTACTTAATGTGTTCATTCACTATAGTATGTACGCACTGGGGTATAATATTTAATTTTTTATTCTTTGAAATTAGTTTTATAACTGCCCTCAGTAATCAACTGCAATATTAATCCTCCGTATGTGATTTTTTATTTCACTTTCAACCACTCTCTTCTTCAAAAACAATAACGGTTTTCGGTAAACTATACCATTAGCACATTTTTCATAACTCTCTATCAATATAACCGTTAAATAATTTTTTTTTCGCTTTTTCAAATCACCGTATTACCTTGAGGCCAACAAACGAATACAAATCGAATTTATGTGAGCTATGTGTGAACTCGATATTTGTTTAGAGTTTGCTCGTGTGGGTCCTTGTTGGCGCCCTAACTCAACAACAAATGGAATGACGATCACCGTGCAGCGCCTTTATATCACCACTGCGTTGCTGCTGTTGGCTTTAGGCAAAAAAATGCATGGCAATTTAAGGCAAAAATTTTGTGTGCGCATCTCGCTAGCGGAATGAATGAAAACGAAACGAAATAACGATGGCAAATCTAAAATAAATAAAATGAAGTGACTAACACATGCGCATATTTCAAATTAAAGGGTGCCTTGTACTTAAATACAGAGAGAGAAAGCAATTGCTAGCGCTCTACAAAGTTGGCATTTCTGCGCAAAGCGATTACGGCAATTGCCATTTGCTCTACCCCCTCGTTGCATTATCATCATTTTGCTTGTATTAGTGAGCTGCCCACACATAATAATGACCCAGCTAAACAATATTGCATTAAGTCTGATAGTATTGGTGCTGGCAGTGAGGTACTTTTAGTTCTTCAGCTATTCATTCCATATAAGCCGTGTGTGGTTAATGTGCGGCAACATTTTTGGTTACTCATACGACCCTGCGGCCTTTCAGTCATGAATGGAAGTGCCGATGAATAGCTTTTGACGCGTCAGTTTCGAACCTAAAAGGGTACACAAGCAAATTTATATGATTTATTCATGCAAAAATATAATGTTACTCAAAGCTTTGCAATAAAATTATAAATTGTACATATTTATGTATGTATGTATGTAAATAATAGCTTGTCTGTATCATCTGATCTGGCAAAAATTGCAATTGTGCTCAATCATAGTAAATCTATTTTTGTCAAGGCAAATTGATACAAGGTGACAATAACAACACTTCATTTTGGAAAATCACCACAATTCGCCTTGAAATCAGATGCTCCCGTAATACCCCCTTGTATGAATTCACTTCGATTTTCATGGGTTTTCATTATCCCCTACACGCCCTGGGTTCGAGCCCAGTTTCTGACCAACAGCAGGCAATTACAAACCTCCGAGTGTATTTCTGCCATGAAAACAGCTTCTCATAACAATGCAATCGCCGTGTAGGTTCCTCCTCTTTGTGTGACAACATCAGGGCGCACGCAACAAATCTTGGAGGAGAAGCGCTAAACTATTAACTCGTCAAAGTTGAGATAACGACAGTATAACTTTGCATCAGTGCCGCCTTTGGCTAGCCACCTCATTAGCGGCGATTGTATTTTTAAGTAGGAAAAAGAAAGAGGACGAAATACGTGAATGCGAAGAGCTTGAAATGCTGACCACCAGAAAGTAAGAGAACTTACGCAAGGTTCAAAGACCGGTTGCCCTGGTCCAATAACAATAACCACGGCGACCTAGTGAGAGGCAGCACTTTTCCACACTGCTTAAAGGTAACAGCCGGTGGAGATGAAGCCAAAAAAAGGTACTGGAGCTGACGACCTGCCAGCTGAGCTATTCAAGTGCGGAGGAGTGGAGTTGATGAGGTGCATGCATCAACCCTTAAGCAGAATATAGTCGGAAGAACTTATACTTGTCGTCTGCAATTTACGTGTGATTTGGCTATTCCACAAGAATTTATATTCTGCCATATTTAATATAACACATAAGATCTAATCGAGCATATTGTGAGAAGAGCTAAAGGCCACCATCAACGAGCTGATCAGTGTGGCTTGGAAAATCCACTAGACTCCAGAAATTCATGCGCTATTTGAAAAGAGTCGCGAGAAAATGATAGAGACCTTTTGCCGTTTTTACCACCACCTTAGTGCGACTTCTTTAATCATATATTGATGAAGTTGGTAAGAGTTGCAGAACTGGCCGATGACATCGACATAACCAGTCTCAACAATCTGCCTTCGCGAATTTAGACAGAGGAGGGAAACACGTGGGTCTGTTGGTGAATGACTGTTGGTTATAATCAGGGAACGGATTTTATGGAAATTGCCTTTTTTTCTGCTAACGAGATAGAGCATATTCGATTAAGAATGTCCACGATTTAGCTTTCTCTGATTCGATGTATACACATTTGATGTTGCCTTTTTTTGCCTTTTTTTAAGATATTTGCCTTTTTAAAGATATTTGCCTTTTTTTGCCTTTTCTACCTTTAAAAAAATTATTATAGCATTTACAATTTTTTTTTAAGATTAAAAAATATACACATTACCCATGCGGCTTATAGAAGCGCAGAGACCTCTTGCCAAATTGGTGTTGGAAAAATTCAAAGCCGTTTTCTCAGCTAACGAAGGCTTGGAGACAATAAGGGGTGTGGATAAAATTATAAAGGGCGAGGAAAACGCCCTTATTCCTGATAATATGAACGTTTCAAACGTTCCATGTTTAAATTGGGCGCCGCTTGTATCAACTTACGTCGAGCACACATTTAGTACATTCAAGGCTTTTCTTCGCGAAAATCGAATGAAAATGCATCTTGTGGTTCAATGTTACTAGAACTATACAGATTAAAGTTTTATGAGTTAGAAACTCGAAAGGATAAAATAGTTCATAGTTTTTCTCTTTTTACTTGTAATATAAACATTTCTAAAATAAATGTATTTTTTGATTGTTCTTCGTATTTTCTGTCTTTTTTTAGTGCCTTTTTCGCTATTTTGTTTTGCCTTTTTTGCAACACCTAGTGCCTTTTCCTGCCTTTTTCACTATTTTATTTTGCCTTTTCCAGCCTATTTCGTTATATTATTTTGCCTTTTTTATAGGTTTTCAGGTCCTAAAAATCCGTTCCCAGGTTATAATATTGAAACTTTTGTGGACTTTGTATTCTTGCGAACCAGTATTAACAGCAAGAACAATGTCTGCCTTGAAATACCTTTTAACTAAGAATAATTCTTGCCAACGAAAAACACATAAGCAAACGGATGTCTCCCGTATGCAAAACATTAGATTAAATACATTGATTCCTTCAAAAATATCACAGGTACTTAAGACTCGTAAGGAGATAAGTGTTCAAACCAAACTTGACAAGGGATGACGGAAATTCGTTCCGAAACAATTCATATTTTCATGCAAATACAGTAATTTAGCTGCAAAATCTAAAAGAAAACAACTTTAGAATCATTTAGGTTTTTTTTGCCCAGAGACTTTATTTAAGATATTTTAAGAATTTACACGTTTTGTGTCAATGACCATCAGAGTTCTAAACTCTTGGTAAAACTTTCCTCTATTCAAGACGACGAGTGTAATACGAAGGCACACACACAAACACACGTCCATTAATGTCTATTGAGGACGTTACAGTTCGATGAGCAGCCTAAAGCAAATTATTACCATTAAGTAAGTGAGAAAAGTGCAATGAAATTGGAACAACCTACACACATACCCAAACACACACAAAGGAAAATTAGAAATACTTAAATTAATTTTCGCCGAGTAGCAAAAACACTTCCGACAGAACTCGTCTAATCGATAAGATCGGCGAGCTATTAGAAAGGCGAATACCGAGCACAGACCAACAGCAGCAGCAATCCAACAACGAAAGTGTCGCACAGTTAACAAAAGTAATTGCAACAACAACAACTACTGCAATTACTACTAGAGAGTGCTATTTAGCGAGAATGCAATCAATGCAGAATCACATCGGCGACGGCGGCAACGATTGCCCTGCATTACGGTAATTATTTGTTGCATTTTTGTTGTTTTTGAAACAATGCGAAAATTGCGAAAAGCGCTAATTTTTTTTCTTTATTGTTTTAATTTAAATATTTTTATTTTTTTTTTTTTTGTTGCCTGCTCGCCTCGCTAGAGGTGCTTCACTGCGCATCGTTCCGCCTTTAAATAGAAACGAACCTTAGAAGGACTGATGCTGGCTATTGGGAATTCTCATTCTCGCTGCTGCGATATTTGATTGTTTTTGCAGCTCAGCGGAATGCTTATGCGTATTATAGATAGTGTTGTTGTTACGTTAGCTGTCCCCGTTGACAGCAATTAAATGATCAGCCATCGGTCGCAACAACACAACAAATAAATCAAGGTTGTCGGCCTCAGCTATGGCAGCCAGCGTGCAATGCAGCGACCCCAATGGATTTGCAAGCATTCGCCCAGCTACTTAATAGGAAGCGAGCGAGTGCGACACATCGCAACGCTCGCCCAGCGGCAACAAAGCTTGTTGCTAAGGATAGCTGCTGTGTTTTGCGTAAATTTATGCCATCGTTGTGGCGCGTCCATTTGTCTTCGGCTACCTGCTGCTGCCGCTGCTGCTGCTGTTGTTGGGTCTAAGAAGGAAGGAAGACCGCTTTATTGTTCTTAATTTTTTTTTTGTTGGTGCTAATGTCAAACTACTTACATACATAGTTGTTAATGCTATGCATTTGTGTGTGTTGCAAATTTTGTGTCATCCAATTTGGTGCATGAATTACTGTGCTCCTATTTTAAGTACAACCGACTAGGCAATGAATGAGCGCATTTAGCTTTAACATCTACTATACTCTGCACTGCCAACTCACCACCCCCTTCACCCCTTTAATGATAACTTCAAGTGTGCAAGCATTCTCTTTTATTTTAGCAATCAATTGGCGATTACTTCCTCGAGCTATTTGTGTTTCGTGAGTTTTTCACACACTTTGATTGAAAACAAAAAAAAAGAAGAAAAATCGGATGCAGTATTTTTGGCTATTCCTCTATTTTAGATTATTCGACTTTCTTTTTTTTTGGTTTTAGTTCAGCTCTTTACCATTTTTGGCGATTTCTTTATGCTAGAAGGAAGTATGTACGTACACTGCCGGCAAAAAGTATTAGCACAGCAAATTTTTCACAATATATGCAACGATTTTCATTCTAATATTTTTCCGCCAATTTTTTATAAAAATATGGTTCATTTTACAACAAAAAACTTAAAAATATAATTCCTAAACTTTGTACAAAAATCACGAAAATTCAGCAAATTTTCCACTTTTTAATCAGACTTCTTTAAATTTCTTGAGTGTGCAGATTTGTAGCCCAATCAATTTTATTATAATAAAACACAAGTTTTAAGTAGCTAGGAATTACCGTTGATTTTTGGATTTTTTTTTTTCACGCAGTCTCTTCCATACAAAAGAATTTTTTCGAAAATACTTAATATGGAAAAATGCAAAACAACACAACAAAAATTCTCAAAAATCAATGCGATTTTTGACTAACTCCGAATTTGCATTTTTTTACTAGAGTTCAATGGGCTGCGAAACTGC